TCAGAATGTAAGAATAAAATTAATTTGTGAACTATACAATTAGTGGCCTGGAAAAGATCAAAGGACACTTAGATGCTTATACAGCAAATGCAAACACACCAGACTATTACACCAAACTCTTTTTAGGGGCCTGAAGTTTGGATTTGCATTGTCATATGGTTGGTCATAACTTGTAATTAAAATGCAAGGGATGAAGACACTCGACCACACTGCAAATAATTCAGTTGTTTGGTATATGTACATCGTTTAACATATTCTTCAATAATGCTGCAGAAAGAGAGTGTATAAATCACTTTGAAAAACAGAAAAATCAAGATTGAAAAAGCCTAACATTTTCACATAATAAAGACTAACAATACCTTAAGACCATCATTTCTTTTTTTTTTTTTGGTCACCCCCTGCAGTTTGTGGGATGTTAATTCCCCAACCAGGGATTGAACCCTAGGCCCTCTGCAGTGAAAGCACGGGCATCTTAACCAGTGGACCGCCAGGGAATTCCTGAGACCATCATTTCTAGAAGGAATATTTTCCTGCACATCTAGGCAATATTTCTATGTGAGATTTTTTTTTGAGGAAAACATCTATAATATTTCTGGAATTTTGTTTGTTGTTATTTTGTTGCATTTTTAATTGAATAGATAATGTTTTAGGAGATATCTTATTATAAATAGAGTGGCGAGCTTATTGAGGGCAAAGCACTATATCTTCTCATGCATTCCCAGTAGCTTACATAGTTTCTGGTACAGTGACTGCATAATCAGTATTCACTGACTAAATAAACATTCTAAAATTTTAATAATTAAGAGCAATATTTTATAAACAAGCTATATTTGACCATTAATTCTTTTAACTGGAGCAAGGCTCACAAAACAAGAATTAATACACTTTCTTTCTTTAATCTTAATATAGGACTCAAATTGTCTTTGCCTTATTATAATTTTTTAAAATTAAACGTTACACTTAAAGCTAGCAAATAGCTACTTAGATAATTTCTTTCCTGTTTTGTTTTGTGCTTTGAGGTAGAGGAAAAAATGGCCCATAAAAAGTAAATTACATATTTGCAATTCTGAATCCAATTCTAGATATTTAAGTTTAAATTTTAATAGTTTTAAGGAGTATATTTTAGTAATGCTGTGGAAATAAACAATTTAAAATACTAATAAAGTATATTTTCAAGATTATAAAAATGGTGGATTCACTATCATAATCCAAGTATAGTCAGGATTGTCTGCATATAGTGGTATATGGATAAAGGTCTGGAGAACATATACGAAGTGATCCAGACCCACACCAAAAAGCCAACATCTGAAATACGGTTCTATGGCAGTTTTTTTGTTTTGTTTTGTTTTTCTTTTCTAAAATTCTCTTTGAGAGTAAAAAAAAAAAAAAAAAAAAAAAAGGTCTATCAGGTAATCAAGGATACACATGCTGCCAAGGAAGGGCCACACTCTAGACCAGAACTTAATTCAATCACTTTCCCTCCTTCCCCCAAAAAATAAGTGAAAAGAAGAGGGAGATCTAATATAACCACTCTTAGCTCTGTAATATTGGGAAATTTTGTGCTTATATTATCTTTCAAACTTCTAAAAAATCTAGAAGTTCTATTAAAGAATTTCTGCCTGGTGCCTGTTCACTTACTATTATATGCCTTCATAGAAAGTGCATACAAGCTTCATTTCCTTCTAAAACTTAGACATTAAATTGGAAATATACAATGCAGAACATTTTTACAAAAACATCTATGCCTCCTTGTTTTTTACTATTTGTAAATATCACTCAATGGCATCAACGGAATAATCTCACCTTTTTCCTGATCTCATTTTCTGAACAACAGGTTTCCATGACAACTTATATTTAAACTTTTATAAATTTCTATTTTGGAATACTATTCTTAAGGATACAATTCATAAATGAAAAGTATAAACTTATTTACCAAGTTAACCTGAACAATTTAGACCTCTCAAATATGTATTTACATCATAAATTAAAAGTAATAGAGGAGGGGGAAATGCCAACCAAAACAAAAGGCAAAAATACAATGTTGTAGAATTCAATTAGTTATCCAGTTCCTATCACTCTTGTTTCAGTCTGCCACTTTAGATCATAAAAGTTAGAAATTAAACACGTCTATTATAAAATTGAGCCAATCTCCTCAATGTTGGGAAAGGATAAGGACAATGTTGAAACAGGTATAACAAATTGAAAATAGAATTTGGACAGTTAAAATTGTTCATCTCAAGTAGATCAATAAAAGATGAACTAATGTAAAATGAAAAGTAAGAGGGCTTATAAAAGTTAAATACTTCTATTAAGAATGAGACTTGTGGCAGTAAGACCACAGCTAAAACAAACCACTTGATAATTGATTTTATGTCTCCTAGAATCAAGTCCATGCAAAATATAATTTCATCCAGTGACCTCCCAATGTAATTCTATTTATCAAATTAGTCAGATAACATTGTCTGTCAATCATCTGAACTAAAAGTGTCCATACAAAAATATTAAATCACATTTAAATAGAATGGTGACTTCTGAGTATTCTTCAGGCAACCCCTAATAATTTGAAAAGGGATTTTCTTGAAGACAAGTCCCACAAATGTTAGCCAATCTGAACAAAAAGGAAAACATTACATATCAACTGGTCAATAAAAATGGAAAGTTAAAACAGGGTTCATTTTAAGAAAACTGGAATCCTATATTTGCACTCTAATGTTGGGTGGTACAGCCAAAGACCTGGAAAAATATATATATATACACATATGTCATAGATGACCTTTCAAAGTTAGAATTCTAGTGACTGTCCTATGCTGCATTAAATCTCAAGAGCAACACTCTATGCAGAGATTTCACAAGCCAGACAGTCCGTTATAATCAGTGGTTGTGGTGGAAAGGGCCTGGGGGGGATGTCATGAGACCTCCAGCATAATTTTGGCTCTGCTAATAACTCGCTGTATGACCTTGGCCCTCACTTAGTATCTGCAGTCTTCATTTTCCTCATCTACAAACTACAGGGTCCTCACGAGGTGATCTCAAAGAAATTTACCAGGTCTATGATTCTCAGCTGATTCTGCTTCTAATGGCTCTTTGACCTTGTATTAATCTCTAAGCTATCTGTGTTCTTTTCCTCACCTAAAAGGGATGCAGGTCAAATCCTTAATATTACTACAATGAAATCTTAGTAAGATTTTTTAAAAACTATTTTCAGTTCAATAGTCTAGCCATTGACCAATAATCAATAGAATCAATTACCATAGCAATAATAAAAACTGAACATCTTAAAGTTTTTGCTGTGCAACCTGGTCTACAATGAAATGTATTCTATTATTATGAGGAAAGATAATAAAACTTCCTGTCTTTTTTTATACCACATAAAATAAGAAAATTATAGGATGAGTTTGAAAACAAACGCAGATTATCTTTTTAGCTGCCAAGTGGAAAGAGCACTGTAGCACTCGGCTGAAATCCAAAACAACAGAGGTAAGGGTCATGAGTCTATGATTTAACTTAAATAAATAATATGCACTTTTTTTCCCCTGAATACCAACTCTTGCTGAATTTATAGAATGGCCTTAGAAGGAAGATTTCAGAGTTGAAGTTAGTAATTCTACATTCAAATATGAGAACATGGGCATACTAGAATTTATGTATGCATTTAAATACCAGATCCCATAAAGTAGCAATGTTTTAAATTGTCTCTTTGATATTCTATTTCAAATTGAAAACAAAACATATCCTCAGACTTCTACTAAAGTGGTACCAGAAGCACATCTTCTGACATGTTATCAGTTGCACAACGTCTCAGATGCAGAGACTTCTGCCATTCAGGGGAACACAATAATGAGGATATAGCCAAAGTTAAGCTGGGAGAATTCCAATTCTGCCCAAGGGGAATCTTTTCTGGGTGTCAGAAGCAAACCAGACACATGCAGTTACAAAGATTTAACTAAATACAGTGCTCTGTTCTCACATATAATTAAAAACCATTCACATACTGTATAATTTTGGGTTGTTTATATTTCTTTTCTTTCCTTTAAAACTAGAGAAACCATTATTAGTTACTTTTATAATCTCTTCATTGGGATTTTGAAGAATTAATCGTGGGTATCAAGGACTAAATTTAAACTGTCACTCAAGCTAAAGACTGAAAAGAAAAATTGAGGATGGGATCACAATCTATAGAGTATAATAAAGTTGCCTACAATCTAAATTACCCAGTCTTTAATTTAGAGACTCCCACTAAACCAGGATCACCAAAGTGACCAATTGGGTTCAACCTGTAGAAAACACAGATACAGCACAAGGGGAAAGGCATCAGACTCCAAAATTCACTGTGCAGGTGGGCTATCCCGTCAACTCACGGGGGACAAGCAAACCCAGCACTGCTCTCTCTTGGAAGGACACAGGCGCAAACAACATTCGGGAGATTTTCACAAAATGAACCTCCTGGCACACCCTCTCCCGGCCCAACCACGGACATATATTCCATTTCTCCTCTACTGTCCTCAGATTAGATCCCTAATTGGAGCCACTGCTCTGGGGGAGTCAGGTGCGCAGCAGTGTCAGGTCTCACTGGAAAGGTCCAATAGTGATGACCAGAAGGCCTGAAGGGCCGTCCGAGCTAAAGAAAACGTTGGAACAAGAGTTAGAAAAAGAAACTCAACAGGAAGTGTGATAGCGGTTTCAGAACAAGGGTCCGGACAGACTCGCCCAGAGTAGCCGACATTTGCCCTTTCGGTCCCATCTGCTGAAGTAAATCTCAGTTGCAGTTGAGGAGGAGAGGAGGGGGATGCTGGGGGGCGGGGGGTAGGGAGCAGGGAGGATCGGGGCCAGAGTCCCTGAGTTTACCCTGCACGGGAGGGGCCCCTCGTCTCCTGGTTAGGGAACCCTGTTCTCTTCTCCCCCTGCCCCCATCCCAGAGGCCTCGGCGGAAAAGAACAGGAAGTTGCGGAAGGAGTTGGGAGAAGTTGGCGCAGCAGGGAAGGGGGCGACTCTGGCCTTACCCTGGCGGCTCTGGACGAGTAGGGGTCCTCAAAGAGGGCCCACATGCGTGGCTGCAGCCTCCTCCAGCGGCCGGACTTGCCGTCGGGGCCCCCCAGGCCCGCGGCGTCCTCGATGCCAAGCCTCTTGGCCGCCAGGTCCTCGTCGTCGCCAGGGTCGCCGCCGATGAGGTCGGGGGTCTCGAAGATGTCGAGCGCCTCTTCGGCGTCGCGGTGTTGCCGGTAAGTCATCCAGCAGCAGGGCTCCACGTCGGTCTCGTCGATGCCCCAGAAGGCCAGCTCCTCCTCGAACAGCGGCCCGCACACGTCGGCGGGGCAGTGCAGTTTGCCGGTGCGGTAGTAGTTGAGCACATAGGCGAAGACGCCCGGGTGCCGGTCGAAGAAGAACTCGCGGCTGCCCCGGGGGTAGTCGCCGCCGCCGCGGACGCTGCAGTTGCCCGCGCCGCCCTCGAAGCAGCCGCCCGGCCCGGGGGACAGCGGGGGCGGTCGCGGCGGCGGCGAAAGCGTAGGGGGCGACGGCTGCAGCTTGTCGCCCGCCGCCTTCAGGCAGTCGCCCTGGGGCTCGGAGGCGGCGAGAAGGGCCAGGCGCGTCCCGGGCAGGGTCTTGAGGGTGCTGCGGTAGGTTTCGTGCCGGGTGCCCCCGACATTGAGGATCACCCTCTCGTTGTTCTCGATCTTGCCCATCTCTGTGCCTTAGACATGACTGGGGGGAGGCGAACACAGCACCAAGTTAAAGATCTTGGCCGGCGGAGCCGCGCTGTGACTCCCACCCCCACTCCCAGCCCGAGAGTCCCAAGATGCAGGGTTGACAGAAAGGCGAGGGGCAAAGGGCCCTCCCAGGATGAGTTTGGCGCCCAGCCCTGTCCCCGCCTCAAGCATCATACCTTTCCCATGTTTCTAGAGAACTGAGGAGATAGCAGTCCGAATCTTCCTTGACCTTCCTTGACACCTTTTACCCGCCTCACACCTTTCTCCCTCTGCTCTGTCTCCATCTTTTCACCCTTCACCCTCTCTGCGCTCTGTCCTCTCTCAAGTCTCACCTGTTCCCAGCCCCTAACTCTCCCCCTCTCTCCCTCCCCAAACCCCTTATCTTTCCCTCCTAAGTCCTCCCCTCCCCCTCTCCCCACCCCCGTCCTCTCCCAGTGCCCCGTCCCTTTCCTCCCTCATATTCCGAGACCCTCTCCCTCCTACCCTCTCCGGGAGGCTGTTCCCTTAGGCAGGGAGTTCCCTCTGCCCAGGCAACTTGGCAGTGTTGGGTGAGAGACTCCCAGACTGGGCGGCGAGCCCCCACTAAACGCGTACTCTCGGTGAACTCTGGACAGCCCGCTGTCGCGGGGAGTGCCCCTTGCGCGACCTCTACTCCCCTTCCCGGGCCAGGCAAATAGACTGAACGCGGAAGTCAGAGCAAAAAATAACGTCCCTGCTGGTGCCTTTCACCAGGGAGACCTCTCCCAAATTTCCTGATCCAATTTCCTTTTCATAATACTGCTATTGTTGAAATTATTATTACTTGGGAAAGGAAACGACTGACTAGGATCCATTTTGGGGAGCAGAAGTGATCAGTGCATCCCACCCCATCCCCCTTTCCCAATAAATGCAAACGTCTTGGGGGCGGAGGGGTGCTTTCTAGGAGGAGCGAGGCCCGGGGAAAAGCTGCTGGAGGCACACCCCCTGCATCCCCGAGCTGGGAGTCCTGGCTGACAGTGTCCCCGTCTCCGATCTCCCAGCCACCTCTCCCCTGGGCTTCACCTCTCCAATCCTACTGCGGAACGGAGGGGGGATGCCTGCCTTGCCGGGTCAGCACGCCCTTCCCGGCAAATCAGCCCCTTGCCCTCCCGCCTCTAGGTACCTTAACGAGACCGAGAGAAAAGTGGTTCTGCTATGGTGTCCGAGTGGACGAGGTGCTCCGGGCAGCCGGACGGAGTCCCGACACCCAGCCGAGCCGCCCTTCTCCAACGAGAAACTACTTGTTGGCGTTTTTCGGGTTCAGGTGGCTGGGCCGCTTCCCGTGGCGCTGGGGTCGCGGAGACAGCCCCCGCCGGCCGCGCGCCGCGCCACCCGGCCTCATTGTGCGAGCTGCTGTGGGCTCGCTCCGCGCCGACCTCGGCGCCCAGAGTCACCATCGCGCGGGGCCGGGCGGACCATGGAGCTCGGGGCGGGTCCAGCCGACGCTCCGCGACCCAGCCGGGAGCCGGCAGAGCAGCCGGCCTTGGCTGCCGCGGAGCTGACCCGAGGTACGGAGAGCTCACCCACTCGAAGGTGAGACCACCCGGCTCCGACTTGGACCTGCAGGTCTCGCTTCTCCCCGCTAAGCAGCCGCTGCTGGAGCTGTCCCTTCCCCGCCGCTCGCCGTCAGCCCCCGCCGCCAAAGCCCAGAGCTCGGGGAACGGTGGGTGGTGGGTGGACCTGGGGAAGCTCTGTTGTACCAACCAGGTTCCTCTATTTTTCTTCAGTGAAGCTGTATTCCCACCCTCTCTGGAGCGTCTGTCTGCCTTATTTACACCCCACTGTCTACACCCTTTCTCTTCCCGCTGCCGCACCCCTCCCAACAAGTGAGAGAGAAAATCTAAGACAAATTGCATTTTTTTTTTCTTAATGGCAGATAAAGGGAGAGAGCTCTACTTACAGGTGACAAGTGTGTCCGGTTTCTCGCGTCTTATCCATGGCTCTGGCTTGTTCTTTTCAGTGAAATGTAGGTCTCCAGTCACCACATCATGGTTATATAAAACAAAACAAGTTTTAAAAGTTTATTCCAGGAACATAATGCTCTAGCAAGTAAAAATTCAGGTTTATCGGAAGCTAAAAAGACAAGCTACAGATATCCAAGTAACGAAGCAATGCTCTCTTTAGCCAATTTCTCCCTTTCTCAAATTTTTATTGCACCTTGTATTAGTTTGATAGGGCTGTCATAACAAAGCACCACAAACTGGATTGTTTAAACAGCAGAAATTTATTATCTCACAGTTCTGGAAGCTAGAAGTTCCAGAGTAAGGTGTTGTCAGGGTTGGTTCCTTCTGAGGGTTGTGAGAAATGGACCTCTTCAAGGCCTTTCTCCTTGGCTTATAGATGGCTGTCTTCTCTCTGTGTCTCTTTACATCATTTTTCCTTTATGCATGCCTGTCTCTGTGAACAAATTTCTCCTTTATATACGAACACTAGTCATATAGGATTAGGTGCCACCTTAATAATTTCATTTTAACTTGACACCTCTGTAAAGACCCTATCTCCAAATAAGATGACATTCTGAGGTACTGGAGGTTAGGACTCCCACGTCTCTTTTTGGGGGGAGGGGAGGTTTGAGGGGAAGGCTGAGACACAGAGCAGCCCATATCAGACCTTACCACCAATGGATTATGTGTTTCTGTGTCTGTGTGTGTATTTCTAGAAAGAAAAGAAAGGAAGGAAGGAAGAGAGAGACCATAGTCCATGGAGATAGATTGATAGGCATGAACTTGAAGTCCATGGAGTAGGTAAAACACCAGGTTTTATGTAGGAGGAAGTCTCTTTGAAAAACAGATACTGATATTGACATTATGGAAAGAGCAAGAGTTGTGAGTTACTAATGAAAAAGTTTTAGCAATATACAGGGCTGCAAGGCAGGCAATTAAATATAAACAATTCACTAAAGAAAACTACCTGTTATGACAGTAAATAACTAAACAAACTAAAAAGTCTTTGGAAGGCCACTAATGTCTAGGAAACTAATGCAAGAAAATATGGTAAGTATACATTTATAAGAAATTTACTAACAATATGACAGTAAATGTGTAATAATAACCTACCTAGCCTTGTGAAAATATAAATTTTACTAACATGCAAAAAAAATGTAAAGCTTAAATACTGAGGGAATGATTCTAGTTTTGCACAGTCACTGAGGCATTTCTAAAAGTAGCAGTGATAGTAAATTCCATTGCCAGAAAATTTACAAAGAAAAATTATGTTCAGATTCTAACATGCATTCTCATATTGTCTAGATAGTTCCTTATATAGCTTAATGTAAATTCAATAGGGAGAAAAAGGCATATGGTTTGCTTTAAAATAAATTAGTAATAGTAAGTGTAGTAGCAGCAGCATTTATAATTATAGATAGCATTTAGTGAGAGCTTACTATGTGCAAAATGCTTTACATAAATTACCCCTGTTAATTTAAATGGAGGAAGTATTTACACTAAATTACAAGACTTCCAGAAAGATAACTCCTACAGATGGCACGAATCAATAATGAAAGCTTTTAGCTTGATAATGTTAAGTTTGTATTAGAAAGGCTCCATATAGAAACCAAAAGAAAAGTGAAAAATAATGCAAAGGACTCATGGGGGGAAAGGAGAAAACAAAGATCTAATGAATCAAGTTGAGTCTGAGGTTATATAAGCTCTCTGGAAATAATAACAATGGCAAAAGGATCATCTTTTAGAAGAATTCAGAATTTTCTTGTGATTCATAAAGAAATAGATGTGAAATTAGAGAAGATTTTGGATAAATTTGAAAATAAGAATGTGGGAAGGTAAAAGGATGAGATGTCCTTATCAATGGAGAATTGATAAATGAAACAGTGAATGAAATAATAGTCTCGCATTTTTTTTTCCTGGTCATTATAAGAGGGGAAGATCCTAAGACAAATACCCAGCCTTCATTATATAAGACAGGAGAGAACAGAAAACCCCTCCAGCTAACTAACTCCATTGATCCTGCTGTAAAACACACATAAAAGTGTGTGGGACGGCGGGGAAGCAAACCTTTGAAAGATGGCAATGGAAAACTGAGAAGGAAAAAACAGTTGTGGTTTCCTTTGTTGGTCTGTGTAGAGCAAGGATTTAAAAGACTGTATGGACATTACCTCTTGCAGAGAAGCAATTGAAATACTGCTTCCTTTATATCCTTGAGTCAGCATCACAGAAGGCTACAGAAACTGTGCTACATCACCACCAGAAATGTGGATTGATCTCATAAAGCCACATTGTGACTGTCAGAATGACATACTTGTCAAATGTTAACACTTTAACAAATTAACTCTTTTAAAGTCCAGTATAATGATTATTTAAATATTATTCACCTTCAGAAAGCAACATATTCATAAGCAAAATTTCTCTGCAGTAAATTTTTAAGATGGCCAGAAGTTCCCATCCCCTCCTTTAGGTATGCCCCTTTGTAATGTGATTTTGCATCTTCTCCCATTAAGTCTGTTTCTCCAGCCCTTGAATCTATACAGGCTTTGTAACTTGCTTTGGCCAATAGAAAAAGTGCAAGTGATTTTGTACCAGTTCAAAGCCTTGGCTTCAGAAGGTCTTGTGTGCTTCTGCTCTCTCTCTTTCTTGGAACCCTACCCTAGTGCTACAAGAACAAGCCTTAGCTGGCCTGCTTGATGATGAGAGACATATATACCATCACACACACCCCCGGCCACACACACACACACACACACACACACACCTCTTTAGTACAAAGAAAAATAGTACTAGAAAACAAGTAAGAGGACATAATACAATAAGGATTTAAAAGAAATAAACCCCTAAAAGATATAAAGCACCCTGCACCAACAGCTAAAACTTCTCATCTCTGCCCCTGGAGGATACCCAGCTAATCTCCAGAAGTAGAACTGCCTTGCCCTTATACATGTGTCCAGAAGAGCTGTCCAGCTGAACCAAGCCCAGATGCACTGACCCACAGAATCAAGAACTAAAGAAAAGACTATGTAGAGACTATTAAGTTTTGGAATGGTTTGTTATACAAGCTGATTCATCCTCTAAGGTCCCTTCATCTGAAAAGTAAAAAACAAGCCTACTTACCTGACCTCTTAACAATAACTAACATTTATATCATGTATTGTGGATTCTAAAAAAACTAATGATATATGATATACATTTTCTTAAACTATAACTTTTTGAGAGGTAATATTTTATGGTGGTTGATTCCACAGGCCTTGGAGACAGATAAAATGGAGTTTATCTTCTGAGTGTCACTCGCTAGATGTCTGACCTAGAGAAAATTACCCATCTCCTTGAGCCTCAATTTTCTCTTCTATAGAATGAGGAAGAGGACACCATAGTTACTATGGGAATTAAATGGCATAAGGCCAATAAAACACTTAAAAAGTTTCTGGCATATTTTATATATATATCTATGAATATATATATATAGATATATATATATATATCTATGAATAGTAACTTTCACTGTCAAATGAGGAAGAAGTCTCACCCCAAAATCACATAGTTACTAATTGGCAGAAGCAGGACCATAACCCGTATTTTCTGATGGCAATCCTAACTCTTATCTGTTACAGCACACTGCCTTGCTGAGAGGTCAAAACTAGCTCAAATACTGAATAGTCCATAAAGATGTAATGAAACCAAAACTCTAGAATCCTTGCAATATGTCTGTATTCTTATCAAATTATTTTAATTTAAAAATATATGTATTAACCATCTTTTAATGACCTAGTTTATGCAATACACTTTTTTTTTACTATCCAACATAGTTACTTGTGACAATTATGATAAGATAGACCTAAATACAAAGAATTCATGGATTACTAGTTTTACAACTTGGTCATTTAATTTGTAAGAAATACATATTTGCATTGGTTATCAAGAGCCAGAGGCTCTGCATAAATACTCAGCATAACAACATAGACATTTAGCCAATTTGAGCTTACTGTATGCTTATAAAATTAATGTGCAAGAGTGCTAAGAAAAGGCATTTAGAAAGGATGAGAAAAATTTCCCACTAATATAGGATCATGTTGACTGATGACCATTAAAAACAAGAGTTGAAAATAGCCTCTTGTTATGAAAAATTCTGGGTCATAGTCCTCTGTGCCAACCATTCATTTAAATAGATGATGATAGATAGGTAGATAGATAGATAGATAGATAGATAGGTAGGTAAGCTTTGGTAAATGGAACAGCCCGTTATTCACGCTGCACTACTTGATGTCATTTTAACTTACAAATGGGTCAATTTGCAGTAGTTTCTCCTAGAGTAACCAACTGTTTTACTGCTAAGGGTTAAATTATTGGCAGATACCAGTAAAGTGCACTTTACTTCCTATTGTCCTTGTTCCTCAATAGGTCATGGATGCTAGATAAGATATTTCATTAAAATTTTATAATCTGTATTTTTAGTACTTTCCTGCCTTCTCCTGCTAATTATTTCATATCTGTATGACTTACTCTACTACGTTGTATACATTTATAGATTCCCTCTCTTTATACGTTCTCCCTCTCCCCAGGCTGGAGAGTTCTATGCTTTAAAGTGCATCAGACTCCCCTAAGAAGCCTTTCAAAATGCAAGTCTCCACCCTGAGATTTTGATTCAGTTGGTTTGGTCTGCACCAGTTTCTGCAGTTGGAAATCTGTGTTTTTAAAAAGCATCCTACACTTTATGAAATGTCCATAGGAAGCTGTATGGAAGTGAATGTTTATAAATATGTAACAAGAAATTAGCTGAACATTGCATCTGCAGAATATATTAGAGAGGACTGGAG